AAAATAATTAAACCATCGGGATTTCTATGGAATTTCAAATCTCGATGCTATTGCTTCTTTCGCAAAGCTATAACTTAGGACTCTCACTCTCGTATCTTTTAAAATCCAATTCTGAAAACTAGTGTCATTTATTATTTTTCCAGCGCAATAAGTCAAAAGTTTACGGAAAGACTTACGGTCTATCTGTAACTTAAGAATACGGTTTGTTCCGTGTGGTTTCCGTAGAAAATACGGTATGAGCATGTTACATTCCTGGCAAAAAAATTCTTGACAATTCCATTGAAAATTCCGTGGAAATTTCTTAAAGTAATACAGAAATTTTCACTGAAGCGGGCATAATGACGTGACCATTATCGGACTACGGTGAAACATTTTTCACTCATATGGATAATAAGTTTCGGATACAAAACTTCTGCCCTGCTGCTGTTTCGGGGAGCTATCGGATTCTGCAGCCCACGGCCACGCGCCTCGCGACGCCCGGTGCTGAGTCCGCCGGTGGCTGACCCGGGGTCATGCTGCCCGCCTCGCAAGGGTAGTGCTGAGCCGTAGTGCTGAGTCTGCCGGTGGCTGACTCGGGGTCACAAGCTGCCCGTCGCGAGGTTTGGTTCTGAGCCTTGATGACGAGTCTGCTGACCCCGAGGTCATGTTGCCCCCTCTCTCGGCGCCCTTCCACTAAATCGACACTTTTTTCGTATATAAACCCCGGTCGGTGCTCAGTTCGGTACGTTGGACGGTGCCAAGCATCCCACAACGCCAAGATGATGTGGAAGTCCCTCATCCTGTGCTGCCTTGGTAAGTAGACCAAATTGTACTCTCGGGCCTGTTTCCTCCCCATCGAATCGTATAAGCCATAGTGCTTTGCTCGGCTCTGAAATGACACTTTTCCCGCCTTCCGTTTGCAGTGGCCGCCGCCGCCTCTTCCGAGCATGGCTGGAAGACCGGCTCCGAGTACAAGTACCAGGTGCGCGGTCGCACTCTGACCGCCCTCCACCAGGTCTCCAACCAGTACGCTGGTGTCCTCATGAAGGCCCAGCTGTCTGTGCAGCCCAAGTCTGAGAACGTCCTCATCGCCAAGGTCTCCAACGCCGAATACGCCAAGATCAACGAGCAGCTGCCCGCCGGCTGGGGTACTCCCATCCCCACCAGCAAGCTGAGCTACCACCAGCTCCCCGTCAGCAGCAAGCCCTTCGAGATCAAGCTCAAGAACGGTATCGTTGATGAGCTGATCGTCAGCAAGAACATCCCTACCTGGGAGGTGAACATGCTCAAGGGTATTGCCAGCCAGCTCCAGATCGACACTCAGGCTGAGAACCTCATCAGCTCTCGCATCAACAACAAGCCCAGCCACGGCTCCCTCAATGGCGTCTACAAGACCATGGAGGACTCCGTCACCGGTGAGTGCGAGGTCATGTACGACATCAGCCCCCTGCCCCAGTACCAGCTCCAGAGCCGCCCCGAGCTCGCCCCCATGCCCCAGCTCCGCGGTGACGGTCAGCTGATCGACATCGTCAAGACCAAGAACTTCAGCCACTGCGAGCAGCGTCCCGGCTACCACTTTGGCCTCAACGCTTACACCGACGTCGAGCCCGCCTCCGCCAAGATGGGCGAGTTCATGGCCCGCTCCTCCGTCAGCCGCGTCGTCCTGTCCGGCAGCCTGAGCCGCTACACCATCCAGTCCTCCGTGACCACCAACAAGGTCATCCTCAGCCCCGTGCTGTACAACAACCAGAAGGGTATGGTCGTCTCCCGCATGAACCTCACCCTGGACTCCGTGCACTCCGCTTCCGGCTCCCCTCAGGGCCCCGCTAACCCCCGCAAGATCAAGGACCTCGTCTACGACTACAACAACCCCTTCTCCACCTCCAACAACGCTGACCTGAGCGACGAGTCCAGCAGCTCCTCCAGCAGCTCTTCCTCCTCCTCCTCCTCTTCCTCTTCCTCCAGCTCTTCCTCCAGCAGCGAGAGCCAGGAGCACCAGAAGAAGCAGCGCCGCAACGCTACCGACTCCAGCTCTTCCTCCAGCAGCTCTAGCTCCAGCTCCGACTCCAGCTCTGACTCCAGCTCTGACTCCAGCTCTTCCAGCTCTTCCAGCGAGAGCCAGGAGAACCAGCGCATGCAGTCCCAGGCTGCCAAGCGTTTCCGTCGCTCCCTGAAGAACCAGTCTGCCAGCTCCGCCCCTTCCAGCTCCATCTCTGACTCCAGCTCTTCCAGCTCTTCCAGCTCCTCCAGCTCTGACTCCAGCTCTTCCAGCTCTTCCAGCTCTTCCAGCTCCTCTGAGGAGTGCGGTAACAACACCATGAGCGGTTCCTCTGACTCCAGCTCTTCCAGCTCTTGCTCCGACTCCAGCTCCAGCGAGAGCAACGAGAGCGGCAAGCACCGCAATGCCCGCAGCAACCGCAACAACACCAGCGACAGCTCTTCCAGCTCCAGCTCTTCCAGCTCCTCCAGCTCTTCCAGCAGCTCTTCCTCCAGCTCCGACTCCGACAGCTCCGACTCCAGCTCTAGCAGCTCCACCAGCTCTAGCGAGGAGTGGTTCCAGTCCAAGCCCAAGATGAGCCAGCCCCCCAAGCACCCCATGCTCCCCTACTTCATCGGTTACCAGGGCAGCAACATCGCCGCCTCCAGCCAGGTTAACCCCGTCCACGCTGTCCAGAAGATCGCCCAGCAGATCGGTCAGGAGCTCCAGCACCCCAGCCAGATCCCCGAGAAGGCTACCCTCGCTAAGTTCGCCATCGTCGCCCGTCTGGTCCGCATCATGAACGAGAAGCAGATCGAGCAGGCCGCCCACGAGCTGTACGCCGCCCCCTCCAAGAGCGCCAGCCAGAGCGAGAGCGCCTCTGCCAAGTACTCCGCCTGGATCGCCTTCCGTGACGCCGTCGCCCAGGCCGGTACCGGCCCCGCCCTCAACAACATGAAGCAGTGGATCGAGAACCACAAGGTCCAGGGTGAGGAGGCCGCTGAGCTCCTCGCTGTCCTGCCCGAGACCGCCCGCACCCCCACCCGCGAGTACATGGACACCTTCTTCGCTCTGATCAAGAAGTCCGAGGTCCAGAAGCAGCAGTTCCTGAACACCTCTGCCATCCTCTCCTTCTCCAACCTGGTCCGCCGCGCCCAGGTCGACAACGCTACCGCCCACAACCGTTACCCCACCCACGTCTTCGGCCGCCTGAACCCCAAGAAGGCTTCCGCCGCTACCCGTGACTACATCCCCTACTTCGCCCAGCAGCTGAAGAGCGCCGTCCAGAACGGTGACAGCCACAAGGTCCAGGTCTACACCCGTGCCCTCGGCAACATCGCCCACCCTAAGATCCTCGCCGTCTTCGAGCCTTACCTCGAGGGCCAGAAGCCCGTCTCTACCTTCCAGCGCCTCCACATGGTTGTTGCCCTGAACAAGCTGGCCAAGATCTCCCCCAAGGTCGCCCGCCCCGTCCTGTTCCGCATCTACCAGAACACTGGTGACGCCGCCGAGATCCGCTCTGCCGCCGTCTTCCTGCTCATGAAGACCAACCCTCCCGCCAGCATGCTCCAGCGTATGGCTGAGTTCACCAACCAGGACAACAACAAGCAGGTTATCTCTGTCGTCAAGTCTGCCATCGAGTCTGCCGCCAACAAGCTGCAGTCCCAGGACAACCAGGAGCTGGCCGAGAACGCCCGCGCCGCCGTCGACATGCTGAACGCTACCCTCAACGGTGCCCAGTACTCCAAGGTCCAGCTCGCCAGCAACGACGTTGAGCAGATGAACCTTGCCTACCAGACCGCCTTCGCCACCATCGGTAGCGACGACAGCTTCATCCCCTCCGCCGCTTTCGTCAGCGCTCGCGCTAACCTCGGTGGCTTCCAGGCTAACTACCTCCGCGTAAGTGTTCAACTCTGCATACATAACAATAATTTTTCTTTAGACAGAACTTTTAACACTTGGTTTTCTTCCTCCAGGCCGGTGCCATGACCTCCAGCGTCAGCGACCTCCTGAACCTCCTCACCGAGCAGTTCCAGTGGAGCGCTTCCTCCAACAACCACAAGAGCCACAAGCAGTCCTCCTCCGCCAACTCCAACTCCAACTCTTGGAACGTCGAGCAGATCGCCAACATGCTCAACATCCAGGCCAACCAGTCCGAGCAGGTCGAGGCTAACTTCCTGATCAACGCTCTGTCCCAGCAGCGTTTCTTCACCCTGGACAACCACACCATCGAGCAGATCCCCGAGTTCGTCAAGCGCGCCGCCAACTCCCTCCGTTCCGGCGAGAACTTCAACTACACCAAGCTGTACAACCGTTACTCCCTGACCATGGGCTTCCCCACTGAGATGGGTCTGCCCCTCGTCTACACCCTGAAGGCCCCCACCGTCGTCTCTGTTGGTGGCGAGGCTCGCGTCCGCACCCAGCCCGACATGGCCAACGGCCCCAAGGACGCCGTTATGATCCCCAAGGCCGTCAACGCTTCCGCTGACGTCCACTTCATCTTCTCTACCCGCACCCAGGCCAAGATCGGTTTCGTCACCCCCTTCGACCACCAGCGCTACATCGCCGGTCTGGACAAGGATGTGCTCGTCAACCTGCCCATCCGCGCCAACATCGACCTCGACCTCGAGAACGCTGAGGTGCGCGTCAAGCTGCAGCCCATCAACGCCAACAAGGACGCCAAGATCGCCATGGTCCGCAGCCGCCCTTACACCGCCCAGCACAACATCCTGGACCTGACCCCCACCGAGCAGAAGCCCATCCACGTCCGCCCGGCCCAGCAGGCTAACTTCACTGTCGGCCAGGACATGACTGGTATGGCTTTCCGCGTCGACGCCGCCTGCGAGAACGACTTCGCCGACTTTGCCGCCATCTACAACCAGGCCAAGAACTACGACGGTATCTCCGCTCTTCTGTTCGCCAACGCCGAGCAGAACATCAAGGCCTACGAGTTCGCTCTGACCTACGACCACCAGAAGACCTCCGCCAAGTCCGTCACCCTGACCGCCTCCTACGACAACGACTCTGAGGACGAGTACTACGGTAACGACGCCCAGAGCAAGAAGGCCAAGCGCTCCAACAAGGACAACGACTCCAACGAGGACTCCAGCGCTGAGGGTAGCTCCAACCCCAGCAAGAACGCCGCCAACCCCACCAACACCAGCCCCAACAGCCAGAGCCGCCAGCAGCAGCTCCTGCGCCGCGCCGCCGCCGGCATCAAGGCCAGCAACGCCTCCGTCATCGACCTGTCCGCCCAGTTCAACGGCGAGCACAAGGCCTACTTCATCGCCACCGCCGCCTACGCCAACAGCCAGGTTGACGAGAAGGCCCGCGTCCTGGTCTACCTGCGCAAGGTCCCCGCCCGTTCCTCCGAGAACAACAAGGAGCAGCAGCTCGCCATGACCGCCTCCGCCAAGATGCCCAACGTGCCCGCCCTCAACTTCAAGAAGGCCCTGAACGCTGACCCCCAGAGCAAGATCCAGGCCCAGATCGCCTTCGGTGAGAAGCTCGACTCCTCTGCCTCCCAGATCAACGTCCAGGCCCAGATGAAGCAGAGCTCCGCCCGCCGCGAGTACGTCCGCCGCCAGCCCATCTCTCAGCTCTGCGAGCAGCAGATGGAGCACGGTAACAACTACCTGCCCGCCTGCCAGAACGCCACCCTCCAGGCCAACCTCATGGACCAGTACAACGTCAACGTCCAGTTCGAGAAGATCTCTCAGCGCGTCAAGAACGCCACCTACAAGGCCTACGCCGCCGCCCGTTACTTCGGCTGGCAGTACAACTCCGAGAACTTCGTCAACCCCAAGAACTCCCACAACAACAAGGTTGAGCTCCAGCTCCGCTTCGCCCCCAACCTGAAGTCCGCCAACCTGTCCATCGACGCTCCTTCCATGAGCGCTGAGTTCAACAACGTCCGCCTCAACCCCTGGATTTCCCGCGCTGCTGCCATCCACCCCATGTACCCCCAGTCCGGCATCGTTGCCTACAACGCTCTTCTTGGTGGTTTCCGTAAGTATCATGGCTGATACGCCTTCTCAAGTGAAGTGTTCGCTACTTTGGTCGCTAAACCAAATCTCTTCCTTTTCCAGCCATGTGCGTGGTTGACCGCTCCGCCGCCGCCACCTTCGACAACAAGACCTACCCCCTGAACCTCGGCAACAACTGGCACGTCATGATGCAGTCCGTCCCCAAGGAGGATGCTGACTCCAGCTCTTCCTCTTCCAGCCAGGAGGACGCCACCAACAACGTCGCCGTCCTTGTCCGTGACGCCAGCGGCTCCCACGACAAGAAGGAGCTCAAGATCGTCCTCGGCGACGATGTCATCGAGATGACCCCCAGCTCCAACGGCTACGCCAACATCAAGCAGAACGGCCACTCCGTCTCCTTCTCCAGCAACCAGGGTGCTCAGCTCCGCAACCAGCAGGGTGAGATCCTCGCCCAGCTGTACCCTCTTCCCTCCGGTGTCGTCCGCGTCTGGGCTCCCCAGCAGGAGCTCTCCATCATGTACGACGGTGAGCGCGTTGTCCTCTTCGTCAGCCAGTCCTACCGTGGTGAGGTCCGTGGTCTCTGCGGTACCTTCGACGGCGAGACCGCCACCGACTTCACCCTGCCCCGCAACTGCGTCCTGAAGAACGCTCAGCAGTTCGCCGCCTCCTGGGCCCTCTCCCCCTCCGGTGCCGTCAAGGAGCAGCAGCAGAAGGCCAACCAGGCCAAGTGCTTCTCCAAGACCATCCTGTACGGTGACGTCATCAGCGACAACGAGGCCGGCCGCTACCAGCCCCGTCACAGCCGCAGCTCCAGCAAGTCTCACAAGTCCAGCAGCTCCTCCCGCAAGTCCTCCCCCAAGACCGCCGCCGGTTGCACCAGCCACCGCGTCAAGGTCATCGAGCAGGACGGTCAGATCTGCTTCTCTCTGCGCCCCCAGCCCGCCTGCAACGCCCACTGCCAGCCCACCCAGAAGGTCGAGAAGAAGATCGACTTCCACTGCGTGTCTGACAGCTCCGCTTCCCGCCACTGGGCCCAGATGATCAAGAAGGGTGCCAACCCCGACTTCAGCCAGAAGGGCGCCAACAAGTCCCTGAAGGTCAACATCCCCGAGAGCTGCCGTGCCTAAGCTGTGCGCTTTCTGTCAATGTAGTCTGAGATGAATAAATGTCAGTGATGATTGCAAGCATACATTCCTCTCTCATTCCTCATTATTCCGCAAACAGTAGCGTCTGTATCATTTTCTAGCACATAACACGTTTACTCTGCTTGAAAGCACTTTCGTGGACGAAGCGGCGGTGACACCGTTTTTCTCAAAAGTGTGCTCCCCCCACAAATAAACCACAACGACCTTCTCCACACTCCGAGTAGAACGGATGAGCGCCGACGAGGTAGGCAACCCCTCGAGCCTGCAAGACCAGCAGGCCGGCGAGCTTGGGCGAGCTCGAGCAATCTGCGCACTGCATCGCGAGGGGTGCGTCCGACTGTGCCGAGTGGCAGAGGGTGGGTGGAACAAAGAGGGGAGGGATACTGACTACCACACTTTCGGGCGCAGCCCGGTAAGCGCTGCGGGAAACACTCAATCATGCCATAAAGTCCCCTGCGATAGCGAGACCCCGCCCCGGCGTTAAACGCAACAGCCCTGTGGCCGGCCAGTGGCCAGGCTGGCGACGGGGCAGATGTGAACGCCTTCGCCTTTCGTGCTGCACGCGGGGCTATAGCCACCGGGTGGACGAGGGGTGCGAGGGCGGGGAGGGAGGGGGGCGGGAAGGGATGGGGTGGCAACGCTGAGAGGCGAGGCTCGGCCCCAGCACCCTATCGCCTCAGCACGATCGCGGCGCTAAACAGGCTGGCCTAGACTGGCAATGACGTTTGTCAGCCTCTTGGCCACCATCCCCTCTATCGGGGCGAGCCGCCAGCCTTCCCTGCAGGTTCAAAACCACGCGCCGATGGGCGTGGGCAGGCCTGTAAACTCTGCCCTCATGTTTTAACCAAAACTTCCGTCGATTCATGCGCTCTTTGGCGCTTTAAGGGGTGGACTTCGGTCCTCAGGTGGCGGCGTTCGCGGGGACGGTTCCTAGCGCCCTCGCAGACTGTTTGCCCCGGGAAGCAACAAAATCGAAAAACACCATGCCTCCGGAGCGGCTGCCGCTAGCCCGAGCCGGGCGTTTGGCACCTGTCGCTGCATCGATCGCTCCCTCAGCGGGACGCAGAGCAGCGCCCCAGTCCCGAGCCTGTGCTTCCATCCGGCCGGACAGCTGTTGGCCTTATTGAGCTGCAGCACCCAGTGAGCGGCTGCCCTTGACGCACTGGTTGGGGGGAGCTCAGGTGCGTTATGTTATACCAGCGACCTGGTTGCTGGTTGAATGGCGTGAGTCCTCCGCGCGTAGCGATTGCAGGGGGCGACCGCGGGCGTGGGCTCAGGACTTTGCAACGGGGCTGCTTTGGGTTGGGGGCGCTGATTGTTGTTTGTCCCGGCAGCCCGCACTTACCACATGCAGTGTGGGGTAAACGTGCTTATCGGGCGCACCCTCGTCCCAACCAACGATCGAAGCGGCGCCCCGTCGTAGTCACGTCAGACTAACAAGCTCTGCATTTGAAAAACGCGCTTTTCTGGATTTCAACATTGACATCAACCCACGCTCAAAGACGTTGTCAAAATTTCACATATTGCTTGCCTTATTTGATTGTTTCTGGAAACTAAATTTCCAATTCTATCGGAAGAGGTGTGGTTGTATGAGTCATTTTAGAATTAGGTTGTATTTGAAGATCACTAAACACAATTAATTTCCACGCTACAGGTTGGTTAAGTTGGGTCCGTTGTTGATCGATCTGTCGACGTCAACGTCGACCTATCTGCAAAGCGTCTGCTGCTGCAGCAGACAACCCCAGCCAGACAACCATCTGTGTCCAGCTTTCGTTTATTTTGCAAAGTCCAGCCTCAGCAAGTTTTGGAGTTTATGACAGAGAGTGCTGGTAATGTTATATGAAGTCAATTATTAGTTCTTGTCATTTTGTGCTCTTGCCCTTTCACACCCTCCCGCGGTTGTGCAGCGTATGCTGGTGATGAGTGATCCAGCATCCTGCAACAGGGTTGTTTGGCTCCGGGTGGGACAGAGACAAATCGGCATATCTAGCCTGACAGAAAGACAACTTTTGTGATGTTGAAAACTCTAAGAACTGCATATGTGCTTAATAACAAGAGATGTAACAACACCTACCATTAATTGTTTCAGAACTTCCTGAAAATGACAGGCAAGCTTCTGGGACCAGGCTCTGGTTCAAAGCAAAAACCATCTTCTGATGCACAAAGCAGTGATGACGATGAAAGAACAATGCCTGAGGAAAAACTGTTGTTGAATGATCCCAAAAAGTAGGTTCTACCACCTTTGCCTACCAATTATTGTTTTTACTTTTAAAATTTGAGGGGGAATGGTTTATTTCAATAATGAATTTGAAGTTTGCATGTTTTCTCTGCACACAGTTTACAATCAAAGGGATGGTCTGGGTGGTATAAATGCCATCAACGACTCCCAAACTGGATGCCTCAGCGCTTTGTAATTTGTGTACTCGCTCACTTTGGATTTATATTCTTGTACATCATGCGAAGCAACATGAGTTTGGCAATTGTAAGAATGACAACGCCTTACTCACTTCTGGAAACGGATCACCTAATTAGTGTTCGTATAGAATTTTAAGTCTTTTTTGTTTGAAAAGGGTAGCAAATTGTTTTCGTACTTAAATAGTCAATGCAATGCGTTCTACTTACCATTAGTTTTTCTCTTATAGCAAGTTGACTATGATTGGTCAATGAAAGAACAAGGAATTATTTTGGGCTCATTTTTCTTTGGATACATACTGACACAAATACCAGGAGGCTACCTGGCTGTTAGATATGGAGGCCGTATGGTGTTTGGACTCGGTGTTGGTTTTGCAGCAATTTCTTCACTTCTGACCCCACTCTTTGGGCACTACCTTGGATTCTATGGCTTTGTGTTGGCAAGAGCTCTATGTGGGATATGTGAGGTAATACCAATGACTACGTCCTCATTACCTGCTCTAGTTCATGGTTAACTTTTTCTTCTTCTTCTCTTCTAGGGAGTGACATACCCTGCAATTCATGCAATGTGGAGTCATTGGGCGCCACCAAAAGAACGCACAACTCTTGTAAGTGGCGCATTTGCTGGTGCTTACTTGGGTGCGGCAATTTCTTTCACTGCAAGTAGTCGTGATGCGTCATGGGAATGGCTATTTCTGTCCGCTGGTAGGACCTCATTCACCACCATTCTAAATAAAAACAGTCATTAATTTTTTCCATGGAATAGCTCTTCTTTCTAAAAACTACATAGAATGTTTTTTATTTCGGCAAACAGGTCTCTACAGCTTTATATGGACTCTTCTCTGGTTTACGTGGGGTAATGAATACCCAGAAATTGATGAGGTAATCTCAGAATATGAATTAAATTACCTAACTGAGACGGTTGGAGCTCAGCAATATACTCAGGTAAGTAGTAAATAATTTTCATATTTTCCTTTCACTTTGTCTGTGTCTATGTATGTATATAGATTTGAATTAATTTAAAATTTGAACCTTGCTTTTCAGAACCCATCCATACCATGGATGAAAATATTGCTGTCATATAGAGTCTGGGCTATATGTGTGTGCCACTTTGCAGCAAATTGGGGTTTTTACACAATTCTAACAGAGCTTCCTACTTTCATGAGACGTGTGTACCTTTTACTTGTTATTATTTCTTTTTTGGTTTTGCATGATAAAATTTAAATGGTGTAGCTGGTAATATACTTTTATGAAATTGTTAAAACGTTTTCTTTCTAATGTTTTACAGATGCTCTACACTTTCACGAAGGTTCATTGGGTAATATTGCAGCCCTTCCTTTCCTAGGCATGGGAATCACTGCTGCTTTTGGAGGATATCTCGTTGATAACACTCTATTACGTTGTCTAAATGTAACCTATGTAAGTGTAGACATTCATGTTTTCCTCTGTATTCAGCCCTTCAGTCCTTGAGAACTTAACTTACCAGTACTTTAATCTAATGTATGCTTCATTTTTTTTAAATTTCAGACACGTAAGGTGACAATTGCACTCACATTCTTGGCGCAAATGATGTTCTTTTTCTATGCGGGGAAAGCCACAGAAGGATATGAATTTATGATATGCATTTGCGGTGCTTTGTTCTTTGGAGGATTATCCTGGGCTGGTTTTGGGTATGTAAGAAGTGTTGAGTTTTAATGTACCACCTGGTTTTTCATTTATTTTGGTGCTGACACTTTTGTTTTCAGTGCCAATCACCTTGATATTGCCCCAGACTATGCAAGCATTTTACTTGGTATTACAAATACAGCTGGGACCATACCAGGTATCATAAGCCCCATTGTTACTGGTTATCTTGTTGAAAATAAGGTAAGTTGGTTGACTTATGTGTGTTTCAGTTCCCTCAATAGGTAATATTTCATAACCAAAACATTTTCTTTCCCCAGGAGGAACTTGCTTCTTGGTCTCCCGTTTTTCTTCTTTCGGGATATGTGTATCTTGTAGCAGGAATTTACTATATTGTATTTGGCACGGGTGAGCGCCAAGACTGGGCAGATGCCAATGAGGCTGTAAAATTAAATTCTGAGAGGAAACAATCAAAAATTAATGATGTTGAGTCAGCATCAGATTAAATTTACATTTTTTTCTCAGCTGTGGTAAAACATTCTGCATTATTGTTGCAAATCTTTCAAAACTTGATCTGATCACAGCTGCTTTGCATAGTACAAACTAAAATGTTAAACTTCCAAATTGGTTGTGAAGGGTGTTGTCCTACAATAGTGTACCTTATTTCCTAGTCAAAGTATTTTTGTTTTAAAAAAATGTATTCTTGCAATACTTTTTCTTTTAATGTGCAATATGTTTTGTCAAGTATATATTTTATTTTGAATTAATTTTGTGAGTGAGATCTGTACTTTACCAAACAATGAATAATATGCTTGCATGCTTTGCATTTCGTTCTTGCTGTAGTAAAGGCATTTTTTGATCACTCGATCTTATCCATTATAATTGAAAGTATTTTCAATCTCTGTAAAGTGTGTAGATTATTTTTTGTGATGTGGGTGTTTGTGGATGTGTGTGTATGTTTTGTCATTGTAATTACCGGTAAGAATTGACTGGCAAATGGAGCAGAATGTTCCTCTTTGGAAAGAGACGGACTGATTAAAACAGTATTTAAATGTGAAATTTTGAGAGTAAAGTGACATGCAAGTTTAAGTTACCTAATGAATTCTATAATTTTTCTATTCTATATTTTTTAAGGATAAGTCCTATAAACTATGCTTCTGTACTTTAAGAACTTACAAGGGAGCAGATTGTAATGTTTGCTGTGTGCATAAACTTTTACTTAGACAACTGTACTGGTTTGCATTTAACTGTTTATTTTGTTATTCCTTATTTCTAATTTGTAACATATTTATGAACAGATTCTCTGGAAAATACCTGTTCTTCAAGAACTGCAAGGGAGCAGATTGTGATGTTTTACTGTGTTTGTAAATTTTACTTAAGTGGTGGTACAGTTTTCCATTTAACTGTGTATTTTGTTTTTTCTGATTTCTGACATATTCTTTGTAAGAGAAATTTTAAGGACTGAGATTTCATTGAATACATTAGCATATCTCAATGAAGCGGTAGTAAAGAAGGGTTAAATGTGTTCTTTTATTTCCTTTTACTCGGGACGTTTCTAGCAATCAAAGCGTACTGTGCTAAAGAGTAGTTTTTTGAAAAATGTAATCATTTTCTCTAGAACCAGGAAGAGTGTCATAGGCTCTTGAAGTTATTATGTAACTCTTTGCTGGTTGGTTTGATTGGCGTAAATGTCAGATAGCATTCAGTGGGGCAGAAATTTTACCCCTATGGTTTCACCCATTAAGTGTAAATGCACAACTGAACATGTTTGTGAAGTTCTTCATGAAGTACTACATCAACTAAAAGTATCTTTATATCAGAGCATCATAGGCTCTTGAAGTTATTGTGTTGCTCTTGATGTACTGATGAACCTGTAGTTTGTTGTTATACTTATTTTAATATTGTCTTTCTTATCTCTTTTTGTTGAATGTTTCGCGAAATTTAGAAGTTATTTTTCCTTCGATGTTTACAATATAGTTCTCCTCTACAAATTTCAAGCATGGAAAAACTTTGCATTTATTAAAGGCTTATAGATCCAGTCAATTCTGTACTCTTTTCAGCCCGTTCTTCAACTCGCTAGGTGAACGAAACGGTTGGTGCAAATCCTGCCAACTCCCAGTAAGGAATTGAAAAATGGTAGAGCCCCCCTCCGTCCCCCACACTCTTACAGATCTGTAGGCAACCAACGCACACGAGTGTGTCGCAACCTGGGAGTTGCCTACCACGCCAGGCGCCTCCGTTCCTCCCCCGAGCACAATAACAATAGGCTAACCTCTCTCTTTTTGACGTTTGATTGTTTGGTCGGAACCGTGCCGTGCAAGGTGCTTGTATCGGCTTGTATTTGCCCTCTATATTTTTTTGAATTGCTCTTTACATTGAAACTGGAATGTGAAATTAATTGAACCGAAGACTAGCACAGAATTGAGAAGTTTACAGCACATACCCATGATAATGGAAGCGTTGGGGCACAAAGGGTACCAGAAGTCAATATTACGAGACTGGGCCGGAGCAATTTCCGTTTGGGATGAAGCTATCAAAAGTTATCCGAAGGAAAGGAAATTTTACAATAACAGATCAAGATGTTATTTTTTAATGAATGACTACAAAAGGTATAATATCTTAACCTGCCTAACTCCTGACAACTACATCTTAACAGCCTTTCTCAGCCTACACTTCCTTTTCCTATGAAAATTTTTCTACGTGAAACAAGACACAAAAAATGTAACCAAGGAAGGAGATTTCATTTGTTCTGTTTTATATCAGCATTGTTCAGCCTTGTGTCTAGCGTCCAACAGAAGTGGGAACATTATTTTGATGTGTAACGCCGCCACATGGCACTTTTTTCCTAATTCCAAAATATTGCTAGCGCCATTCCAACGTTGCAAGCAACACTGATGCATTATGTTAACTCAGGGCCACTAATGGTAGCGAAACGCATTGTTTTAGGTCCCAAATAACAGCTACATCAATCATTACAATTTGAAAGTAATGTTCCAAACCCTGGTGTCAGATGGGTGATAGTTATCCTCTGCCTGTATTCTAATGAAAACATTTTACTGACTTTCAGGGCTTTAGCAGATGCAGAATACATGACCTCCCATTTTCCAGATTATGCTCGAGGTCATTTTCGACATGGGGAAATTCTTGCATCCATGGGTGTAAGTAGGGGCCTGAGGTCTTTTAGATTGTGGCTGTACATTCATTCTTTTGCTTAGTTCTTCAAATTTCTTACCATTTCAAATTACAGAAATTTAGAGAAGCTGAAAGATGTTTCCGTCGTGTAATAGAGTTGGACAACGCATGTCTGGATGCCGTTAATGAATTAAATGAAGTTCAAATTCAATACCTGTGTAGTCTTGGTTTTACTCGATATCAAGCTGGCAATGCAATATCAATGGCTAAGGATTTAGATGTAATCTATCTACCTGAATCTCATCTTGTTTTGTCTGTGGAAAAATACAATGTTTGATATCAATCTATTTTCTACATAGGAGGCGAAAAAGCTTTTACGAGAAGGTGCATTTCCAGAAGATGATGGTGAGGTGTATGAATCTGATGAAGATACTTCAGTACAGGTCCATCCTGTACCTGGCCATTACGATCCACTGGAAGAGTAAGTACAGAAACTAATATTCTACAATGATTTTCTATTATTTGGGAAGATTAATTTTAATTCAATGTTTTGTGATACTTTAGCCCAGACAATCCCAAAAAATGTTGTTCTATATGGGTTGGAAACATGAAGGAAAAAGTTAGTGATGACGATCTTAAAAAAATATTCTCTAAGTAAGTAATGATTTTTTTGTATTGTGACCTGCAGACATGTGGTGCATACTGAATAAATCTTTCTGAACACTTTGTTACAGATATGGAAAAGTTAAAAGTATCAAAGCTGACTTTTCCAAGTTTTTTGTATTTGTGAATTATGTTGATCCTGAAGGAGCTTCCAAAGCCATGCGCCAATTACAAGGACTAGATTTAGCAGGAAACAAGGGTATAAAAATACGTTACCCTGACAGAGCTATGACTGGTAAGCTTAGCGTCACACTTTCCCACTTTGGTTAGCCTTGAGTATAGAGGTGGTAAATACTTGATACTAATAAAGAATTTTCAATTCTCTACTCAGGTAAATGAGTTTATCTTCTTTTTGCCTCTGCTACCAAATCAGTGGTCAAGTGATAGTAAACAAAGCACCACTTTCCAATTTATTTCTCATTTCCTGTTGTGCATGGGCTGTTTCAGTTTTGGTATTTCTTTTTTACACAAGCCTCACATATTTTCTTTCTGAGTTTATTGTTGGATACATTTCTAGAAGTTTCAATTGTTCTTTTTTCCCTGCCAATTCATCAGTTGGTACATACTAATTCAATTTAAATCAAACTCATGGTTGGAACAGTTTGGAATGAATCTTTCTAGTAATCTTGAAAAACTATGGTCAAAATTTGTCATTAAATAGAACCACGATTACTTTGTTCGTTAATAATTAGTTGTATTGTATTCTTGTTTATGTTCTGAAACTTGCCAATCTACTTTGTCAGTAAGTTGATGATTATGACAGCTACTCTACTGTAACACTACCGTGTAAATCTATATTTTAAAAGATTTGATTGTCATTTTTGTGGGTTTTTTGTACTGATACGTTATTGCATATTTGTATGAAGACCCTGCTCTCTCATGTTTTATTTTAGCTATTTTTTATTTTTGACATATTTATCTGCTTATGAAGTGCCTTCGAAATCTCCAATTTTTGTAATAATAAGTATTTATTTATTTTGTCATATAGTGATATCAATAAACAGAATTATATTTATAGGGATAGTCTTTTGTTTGAGTTCATTATCATCCTTTCCAAGGTGTTTTCGTTGACCGCAAGTTTCCCCTGTGTTCTTGTGTAAGGGCCAAGCGACAAGGAAAACGAAAAAACATAATTAAAAGAGGCAATGATCCATCATCAGAACCCCAGAACCTTGAGAAAAGGCCCTTTCTCAAGCCAGAACCGGTTTGAACTACTGGAATTTAAAGCGCCGCCCCTCTTCGCGCTTCGCGCGTACTAGGCTGGTGCATTCTGGGAGTGGACGCCAACACCAATGGGAGTGCTCCTCCCCCCAGCCTTACCTCTTAGCCTGTAACTAGCCTGAGAAGAGCTTGGAAGTGAAGTGAAGGAGGAAGGCGGTGATCGCAAGTGACAATAACATGGGGCTGGGGCTGGGCGCTGCGGGGGATATGTTTTTGTAGTATTTTACCTTTTGATGTTAAAGTCGTGCCATTACAATGACAAAGTGGAAGCCAGTACGCGAAAGAGACAGATATGGAATCGGTAAGCATAATGTAGTTGATAATCACTATCAGCGAAATAATTTGTGCTATGTATGTACTGATGGGTTAGGCAGTGGTTCAGGAAGTAAACAAATAAATCGCTTTCTTTTCTGTTTACATTTCTTTTGGGCTGTAATGTAAGCCACCCCCATTGTGAGATTCCTTACTTTTAAAGTTTTTAACACTAAACTGTCAAGGGCATTTCCCCCTTACTTTTCGTGGTTTGCTGTTTGTTACAAGTCTTGTCCAACCCTTCCTGCTGTATACAAACATTCACACATTCTAAAAGATACCTCTCCTATTTACTGTTTCCCAAAATTACTTAATAATAATTTTCAGACTGTCAATTGTTACGGCACAGCATTTAAGGACCAGTTTGTGTGGGTAGTTTTCTCCTAATGTTTAATATTTGGCAGTGATTGAGACTTATAACATATAGTAGTCTCCCATTTGCGATACACTTCAGTTAATAAGTTTGGTTCATTTATCATCAGTAAAGAGCCCTGGTATGGGTGCCTTTATATTAGTTTTAGTCAGATCAAGTTCAATTTCATTTCACTTTTCAATTTACATGTATTATATGATTATATGTTCATTAAAAAGAAAAGAACAAGCAAAAATATCCCACTTTGAGAAGAGATTTTTTTGATTTCTCTTTTTACAAAGCTTTTAGATTTAGAATCCCACAAAGAGACTGGATAGCTTTCCCTCTGCCCCTTCGCCATGGAATTGAGGTTCCCCCTGCCCTATTTTGTAGCTTTATTGGCACATCCTCATTGTGACCCTGAGGAGAGATTGATTAGGTAGGGGAGCTGTAAGTTGTCATGCATGTTTTCAGTAGTCCTATCGCAGCATGTCCCTTATACCCACACTTTTTAAATAGGAAACAAATGTATGGAGTTTGATTTATGGCAATTTTCATCATGCAGTTCATGTTAATATTTACAATATTTTTATTTAGTGATTCAATATTGTTTTACTTACTTTGAATCTTTAGCTATCCATAACTTCAGTCAACAATTACCATATCGCATTTCTCTGAACGTGGGAGAAGCTGTGCACCTACTGGAACAGAATGGCGACTGGTATTTTGGGTGTTCTACTAAAAATAGAGCTGTACGAGGGATTTTTCCAAAGGCATACATTTATGTGTGTGAGTCAATTCTTGATAAAACTGGGTAAGAACTTACTTTCTCTCTCTCTCTTTTTTCCTTTTTTCAAATGCCTTAGTCACTTTTTTTATTTTTTAAAAATGTTTTTGTGCTTTAGGATGTCTGAGTTCCCTGTGCTCAAACAACCTCAGGTTGTACAAGAAATGACATCAGTGCTGAGGGAATGGGGTTCAATTTGGAAGTGGCTGTATGTAACCCATTCTGATCAATTCAAACCTATGGAGCGCCGAATGATAGATTTAATTCGATGTCGCTCAAAAATCTTATCTGGTACTCTTCCGGTGGATGAATTGCGCCAAATAAAGAAGGAAGTTACCTCAATGATAGATGTTGGCAACAAGTAAGTTTAATTTTTCCAACAATTCTAATTACTTATGAGGATAAAACTTGTCCCATCTATACCTAAAACTTATTTTAAAAACAACTTTTCAGGGTTTTAAGTCTTGACATGGTGGTAAGAGATGACCAGGGCAATATATTAAATCCTGAAGTTACATCTACCTTGGAACTTTTTCATCACCATGAATTAGCTACAGATCGTATTCGTAAAGCTACAGTAAGTATTCACTGTTTTCTTTTCTTTTTTTTTCTTTTTTGTCTCAAACACTGTCATGATTCTTCAGTAACTATTTTGTATTTTACAGTCTGGTTCATTAAAGAAAGCTCCAAAGGTTGCCACACACTTCTCTTACACTTTATTTGTGTCTCTAAGAAACTTCATTTGCAAGGTATCCGAAGATACTGAATTGCTTATGGCCCTTTATGATGCAAAAGATGGCAAAGTTTTCACTGAAAACTATGTTGTTCGGTGGAATAAAGATAGTCTCATGAAAGATGTGGACCAATTACACAATCTGAGGGTGCTGTTCACAGTAAGTACCTTCTTGATATCTAATTTCCATATTTAATTTGCTCAATTACGAAATAACTAACTAGCTTGCATTACATTTGCACAGGATCTTGGCAGCAGGGATTTGCAACGTGACAAAGTTTATTTAGTTGTGTATGTGGTCAGATTAGGTGCAATGGACCCCCGTGAAACTGAACAGAAAAACAGAAAATCTGTTGCAAGCAATCTTGTTGGTGATGCTATTATCTTGAGAAGACCATATGGAGTGGCAGCTATTGACATAACACTTTTCTTATCGGGAAGAATTGAAACTGATGAAGAGGCTCACCATTTTGTACCTCTGCTTCTGTATGTCTTTGTATTAGTTTATCACATACTATTATTATTATTGTTGAAACTTTTTTCAATGACAACAAAGGTCAAATTTAAAAATGAACAGTCATTGAAATTACATGGCTATAGGAGTTACTTTGACTAAATTATCCCTTTTCAATTTTCATTAGATGTGGCGATAGAGATAATTTGGAGGGTACTCTAAAACGGATCCTCACTTTAAAGGAATTAACACAGAGAGAACATAAGGGTCAGGGTCTTTCTGCAAGCTTAAAGGTGTTACGAGGTGACCTCAAACAGGTGAGTTTACCTCATGAATATGATTATACCCTCCATGTTTCATATCTATTTTTTGAGTGTATGTGTTTCCTTTAGGCAAGAGAAGAAAATCCCCATTTAGTATTGGGAAGCGTGGCCATAGCTAGGAAAATGGGTTTCCCTGAAGTTATCCTTCCAGGTGATGTGAGAAATGATCTATATCTCACTCTCCAAAATGGAGAGTTTTCAAAAGGTAGCAAGTCCGCTGATAAAAATGTTGAAGTTACTGTTTGTGTTTGCAAAGATAACGGACAGGTTTTAGAAGTAAGTCATAGTAATTAGCTCTTACTTGGGTACTTACCGGTAATTCAATTGTATAAATCTTAAAAATTTTCACCACAGAATGTTATCTTGATGGGTGGAGGTGTCTCACTTCAAAAAGAATATCATTCTGTTATATACTATCATGAAGATAAACCCAGATGGAATGAGACATTTAAGGTGGCAATCCCTATAGATGATTTTAAAGTCAGTCATTTGTTGTTCACCTTTAAGCACAGGTAAAGTGAATCTCTCTCTTGTTTTCCTATTTAAATATTTTTCACTTTTACATCAAGATTCCTCAAATTTTGTTGCCAGATCTTCGAATGAGGCTAAAGACCGCGCTGAGAAACCTTTTGCTCTTTCTTATGTCCCACTCATGCAAAAAAATGGGACTACACTTCATGATACCCAGCATGAACTGCTAGTGTACAAAGTAATCATAGTTTTATTTTTCTTAAAGTGCTTTACTTTTTATTCCAACTTAAAGTAAGTTGACATTTTAATCTGTTTGTTGTAGATTGATCACAAAAAGTATGATGAATCTATTATTGGCCACCTCAAGCTACCAGCAACCAGAAATGAACTAGGTGATGGACTGAAGCCATCCTTTTCAGGTCTTTCATTATCCAGCAAGGACTGCTTTCTTATCAATACCAATGTTTGTTCAACCAAATTGACACAGAATGGTAGGCTGATTGATGTTTAAGTGCTTCTTGTGCTCAATCTATTTAAGCGGCTAAAATTTTAAGTCTATTTTCAGTGGATTTGTTGGGCCTTTTAAAGTGGAGTTCTAAACCAGAGGCTTTAAAAGATTCTCTTCAAGCGCTAATGAAAGTTGATGGTGAAGAGGTTGTGAAATTTTTGCAAGATGTTTTGGATGCCTTGTTTGATATCCTAATGCAAAATTCAGATTCAGACTTGTATGACAACATGGTGTTTGAATGTTTGGTAGGTTTCTTTTTATCATTGTGTTCACTCACTGAGGTTTTTAAAATACCAGTGTTATTAATCTAATAATATAAATCTCTCACATTTAGCTTTACATTATTGGTTTGGTTTCTGATCGCAAATACCAACACTTCCAACCAGTATTGGATCTTTATATTCAAGAAAGTTTTTGTGCTACTTTAGCTTACAAGTGAGTAACTGAGCCAGTATTTTTATCATTCTGTAGTTCTTTAGCACTTGTCAATAAATCCTTGCCATTTTCAGTAAACTTTTGGTTGTGCTGCGCTATCATGTTGAAAATGCCAACTCCACTGATGTAAGAGATAAGGAGTTGCTTTTAAAAACAATGAAGTCGTTGCAGTACTGTATTAAGTTTGTTGTCCGATCCCGTTCATTATTCTCTCAGTAAGTTATACTCTACTTTTATTTTAATTTTTTTGGTACAAGATTTGCAGATTATTCCAAACTTATGAATTTATGTTTCTTATTTCTATCTTTCTTAATAATAGGATGAATGAAATGAAAGGACAACAGCAGTTTGAAGTTTCTTTGCAACAGTTCTTACGATCTGTAATAGCAATGATGAGTCACAATACCGACCATACTTTGCTAGCTCAGGGTGCTTGTCTTAAGTATTTGCCTTCTTCTATACCAGACATTTTAACTGTGTTTAATGCTCGCCAGCTAAGGTAGGTGTATTTTGCTATGAAGTTGTACTTTACTAAAACAACACTTTTCCTATTGTGGTTTTTATTGTTTTATAGCTGCCACCTTTTGGAGTTAATTGCTGCAGTTCCTTCAGGAAGACTTACAAAGCAAAAAATGATGACCATTGATGACATAGTTCACAGCCAATTGTTCAAGATGCCTGAATGTCGAAGTGTTCTTCTGCCAGGTTTTACTGTTCGAATTAAGGAGCTTCTGGAATCTCGTGAAGAGGTATTTTATTTCCTTTATTCAGTGGGTTTGGTTATAACTATCAGTACTATATTTATCATATCCAGGTACTATCAATCTCACATAACTTCACTTCTATACATTGTATTTTCTGGGTCTTGGGAATCAAAGTTATTGTCTGTGTTGCCATTTGATTAAATTTAACTTCTGCATGATTTTGAAGTGGTTCGTACCAAGTAAGAGTTCTTTGTGGTGATAGAATGACAGTACTGTTGCTGTTTGGGTCTCCTCTGCTTTTTTGGTCATATTTGTTCGGTAATGAGAAAATTGTCTTTTTGTGAAGATACTCTGAGATTATTGAAGTCTAAAGAATCAGCATTTTCACTTCTATAAATATTCATTCAAAATTTAACTTCAGTAATTTTTTGGCATGTGGTTATTTTTTCAAAACACTTAATTTTCTGTAACGTAAAGTTGATTTTGCCTGTGTTTCTTTTGGCTTCAGAAGACATGGATCAGGGGAGGTAAGCATGGGAGAATATTTGCATGTGCATGGTAATTCTTTTTCTTTCTCTCTTCCTTTGTTTCTGGTCCAGTTTGTCATTATTATTATTCCATATTATTTATAGACAGCAATTTTGAACTGTTTGCCTTTCATACACATAGTACACACATTTTTATAAAAGTAAACTTCAACCTATAACATCATTCTATTCTTAGCTTTACTAGCTACACACTGCTTTAAGTGTAGCTTATGAATAGAAGCTAATGAATTATGGTTTCTGTGACAGTGTGTACAGTATTTGTGCGCGGTTTGGTTTAATTTTCTTTTTAGTAAATGTTGTTTGTTCCCCTTATGTCTCGTTGAAAACCTTTAATATTGCATGTTGTTATGGAATTATGCAATTAATTTCTTTTTCTTCTCCTGTGGCCATAGAATGTTTTGTTTCTTATCTTTGTAGCTGGGATTTGTGGGTTTTGATCATTTTTGTGGTGTGTGGTGTTGTGGAACATAGGGTCGCCTGGGCTTTGATTATCGCCAAAAATCAAAATCTGTAGCCAAGATTGCCAAGGTGTTGGGTGCCAGCAAATATAAACTACATGAACATCATGGTTATGCAGAGGAGGTAAGTTTAAAAAAAAAAAAAAAAAAAAAAAAAAGAAAAGAAAAGAGGAAAAAAAGGAGCGCAGTTACCGCATTTGTCTATTGGATTTGTAGTATTTCATCAAAAAACTACATCTCCTGAAACTATTTTCATTGAATGTCTGCCAGTTGGTTTGGTATCCATTTCTCCCATCTACTGTATTTCATTTTTCCTTTGCTTATGTAGTTGACGTTGGTTGTGCTGTTTTCAACACATTCAGTGTGGCTTAAAATTTAATCTAATGATTTACCTTTTAACTGTCAGCATATGATGTCCACACCTCACTGAATGTGTTTATGCCTTTTATAAGTTTTTAAAAATTACTCTCTGCAGTTGTGGCTTATAATTGTTACCGTACTGGTTCTAGATGATAATGTTTCTTTTAATTTTATGTGATTTTAATCTGTCCTACCAAGACTTATCTCAGCTCTATCTTGACCTCATGTGAATGATAATGAGTTGACATAATATTTATATACCTATCAGCAAATTAACAAAATTCTCCTTTCTCAATGACCTTATGAATAATATTAATATTCATTGTTTGAACATTTTCTTAGGTTGAGTTGTGCGTGAAAATCCTCAGTGATATTATGAACCTACTTTTCTTTGCTGATGTGGGACCAACAATTCTTGATGTGACAGAAGTAATGTTAACAACACTTCGCACTGTCATCCAAACTACTATAGCCATGGATAGAGAAAGTCCTCTTGTGGTAAGTGGTCACGGTAGTTTTCACAAATACTTATTGTTGTATCCTGTGGCTAAAATGGTTACCGGTAATTTGTCTTCTTGTTTGTAGGGGAACTTGGTTGCTGTGATGTTGGCTATATTTCGCCAAATGACCGCTCACCATTTTGAGCACTATATTTCACATTTTGCCACAAATACTGATTTACTTGATTTTCTCATGGAAATATTACTAGTATTTAAGGATCTTGTATCCCGCCCAGTGTTCCCACCTGATTGGTCTGAAATGATAATGCTGCAGAACAAGTAAGGCAACTGGTCGATACAATTTATTGATAACATTTTTCATTGTATGTATTTTGTTCCTTTCACCATTTGACTTATTTTATTTCTAGTGTCATTTTGAAAGCCTTGCGATTTTTCTCGCATACAATTCGTGACCATTTCTTCCAACCCTTTGAACATCAAGCCTGGAACAATTTTTTCCACTGCGCCATTGCTTTTTTAACACAGCCAGCACTTCAACTTGATAACTTCAGCTGCAACAAAAGGGCCCGTATTGTGTCTCGTTACCGAGATATGAGAAGGGAAACAGGATTTGAAATAAGAAGCATGTGGTTCAATTTGGGTAAGATTTCAACTTTAGAAATTATTCATCAACCATTATTAGACTTAGTTATTATTTTCTTCAATAATAATGTTGTTTTTTCCCATAATTTAGGTCAAGCAAAAATACAATTTGTACCTGGTCTTGTTGGTCCCTTCCTCGAGATGACTCTCATTCCTGAAGCAGAGCTTCGCAAAGCAACCATACCAATTTTCTTTGACATGATGCAATGTGAATTTTACTCATCGCGTCATCCTGGGGAGAGCTTCTCTGACACTAAAAGAGATTCAAGCCACATCAAAGCTCATTTCTCAGAGGTAGGGATTAGCTTTGTTGCACTAAACTGAAACTGGTTTGGCAAATCTAATGCACTTTTTTTAATTATCAGTTTGAAAATGAAATGATTGCAAAACTCGACACTTTAGTGGAGGGAGGTCGAGGTGATGAACACTACAAAGAACTATTTCATAACATTATGATGCAATTGTGTCAAAGTCATTCTACAATGAGGGAACAAGGCACACGCTTTGTAACAACTGTCACACGCCTCATGGAAAGATTATTAGAATACAGATGTGTGATAAATGATGAAAATAAAGAAAATCGAATGAGTTGCACTGTCAATTTGTTGGTAAGCATGTGAAATTATTTTTTGCTAGATTATTCTGCAAATAAGTGAGCTGTTACTTAGTTAACTTTTGATTTTACAGGATTTTTACAGTGAAATAAATAGAAAAGAGATGTATATAAGATATGTCAACAAATTGTGCGATTTACATTTGGAGTGTGATAATTTCACTGAGGCTGCTCATACTTTACGGTTGCACAGTCAACTTCTGCAATGGTCTGACGCCTCTTTGCCTCCCCTTCTGAGGTCTCCTCGTCACCTCAATTGTCATACTCATCGTCAATTGAAGGAAGCTTTATATTATGACATTGCTAAGTACTTTGACAAGGGAAAGGTATTTCTACCATTTCTACTTATAACTTGTATTTTTTAAAGTACATTATTAGCCTTTCTCTCATATCTGTCAATATATCTACTTTCAGATGTGGGAAATGGCATTAGCAGTATGCAAAGAACTTGAGAAGCAGTATGAAGAGGAAGTTATGGATTACACACAATTAAGTGAATTACTGCGTCGACGAGCTCGTTTCTATGATTGCATTATGAAACAAGTTCGACCAGAACCAGAATATTTCAGAGTTGCTTACTATGGCAGAGGGTTTCCAGCTTTTCTCCAAAATAAAGTGTGTATTTTTCTTATCCTCTTTCTTTTTTAACATATTTGGGTGGATTTACTACAAAACTGTCTTATTACAATTTTGTAATAATTGTGTTCTAATTTCTTGTCGAAGGTATTTGTGTATCGTGGGAAAGAATATGAACGTTTAACAGATTTTTGTAACCGAACACTAAATCAACTCCCAAACGCAGAGCTCATGAGCAAATTAACACCTCCTGGTGAAGATATAACTGAATCTATGCAGCAATGTATCCTTTCCATTGTACAATACTGAACCAACCCCTCTTGTATATTTCTTTTTGTTTCTTGCATTACACCTTAATTCCTTGTCAGTTGTTCAAATTAATAAGGTGGAGCCTGTTATGGGAGAGCGGCAGCAGAGGCTCACAGGAAGACCTATCAACGATCAAATTTTACGATATCATCGGTAAGTCCAGAAGGATTTTAAAAATATTGCACATTAAATATCTAAAGGGTTCAACATTTATTGTTTTTCAAGTTCTTTGATTAAAAGAAACACAAAGTTGATCGCAAAGTTAAAATAATTCTATTCTATATGATGTTTACTACTCCAAGACATACTGTATTTTGGATTCTTTTCAGTGTCAACAACGTTCAGAAGTTCAGGTTTTCACGCCCTTTTCAACGAAGAGATCCATTACTACCTGCTGATGATGGTGATACCAATGAGTTTGCCAGTCTTTGGCTTGAACGTACTGTTCTTGTTACTTCATATCCTTTACCTGGTATTTTGCGTTGGTTTCCTGTAACATCATCTGAAACATATGACATCAGTCCTCTGCGGAATGCCATTGAAACAATGGAAGCCGCTAACAAGTAAGAAATATTCATAATAGTAATTATCTTAAACATATTGGAATGTATTTCATTTTTTATGTTTCTTTTCTTACTTTAGGAGTCTTCAGGAACTAATTGTAGCTCATCATAATGATCCTTCTTTACCAGTTAATCCCTTGAGCTTAAAATTGAATGGTATTCTAGATGCTGCTGTTATGGGAGGCATAACAAACTATGAAAAGGTGAAGAGTTCTTTTATGAATGTTAATGCTTGACAGCTTCCATTGTCATTTTGTGAAGAAAATAGTTTTTCATGTTGAACAGTTTTTACGGATTTTTATTACTCTACATTGGCACTGTATTGTTTCCAGGCATTTTTCATACCAGATTATTCAGCTGCTCACCCAGAAGAGTCAAAGCAGTTAGCTAAATTAAAAGATCTCATAGCAAGCCAAGTACCATTGCTTGAAGTAGGAGTTCAACTGCACCGACAGAGAGCACCTCCAAGTTTAGGCCCTTTTCAACAACGCCTTGAGCAATGTTTTCGTGACATGCAGACACAAGTTGAGGCAAAGCATGGAAAAAAGGTTGTAGAAACGCAATCACAAATAATGTTCTGAAATACTTCTCGATTTTGCTTGATGCTGGTATTCTTACTCCATTTCTTCTTTTTTCCCATATTTTTTATGTATGTGCAGACCTGTGATTTGAAACTGGATAATCCTCAGTGGACTGCACCGCGTCCTTCAAGCACTTCTAGTTCTGGATTTGGAGAAGAAAACTTTTCCAATAGGGCATCAGAGGGCAGCCTTAGTACACCTGAGTTAGTTTCTTTAATATTTTCTGACTTATTAGTTCTGGTTGGTTCTGGTATACAATTAACCCCCAATATTCTTTATTAAATGAAAATACATTTTTCAAATTTTTAGATCACAAAGCATTAACAACCGCATACGAGTTTCAAGCTTAACTCGGTCCCAAGTTGCTACTTTAAAGAGTTTAGCTTCTTTTAACTTCTCTACAAATATTGGTTCTTCGGGAACATTGGGGAGGCAGAAGTAAGTGTGATGTGAAAACTATGAACCAATACATTAATACAAATCAACTATGCTTGGAGTCAATATTTCTACTGTTACTTTCTTACTACAGCTCAAACAGCTCCCCAAACAACCGCAATAATTCTAGTCTAAGTGGATCTCCTAGTTCAAGTAGTGTCAAGTTTGGGCGTTCAGCGTCTCTTTCAACTGATTTATCTGATCCACCAGCAAACCTTGATAAAGAAAATGAGCGTGACAGAGATGCACGCAAATCAGAAGGCAAACGAAGTCGATTGTCACGTAAGGCAGTAAGGTATGGATTGTTTTTACTTTTTCTCATTTAAATCTGGAGTGCATTTTTCTATGGTAGCATGTTTATTGTTAAATACATGTGTACAGCTCTATTGTTGTCTCTGTTGATATATGCACTTCTTGAAGAGCTACATGACATCTTAGTCTTGGTACTTTGTCCTGGCTTTCTCCCTTTACTTGCATGTGCTTGGTTTCTCTGTTTCAGCCTACGCCATGCTAGTCGCAAATCTAAGGATGCTCGTCGGTACGACATACCATGCTTATTTTATGGCTTAATTACAATCATATTATTTTATATTCCTTTAATACAGTGGTTTATGTATATAGTGCTTTTACAGAGCTATAAACCCTTCTATCTGTTGGGGCAGTCCTCTCCTTTCAAATTACAGTATATGTCATGTACATACTTCAACAAGTAATTTTAAATTATTTTTTTCTGTTGTAGGGATTCCAACACAAGTTCTGGGGGTACAATAAGCAATGGGAACAGCCAGTGGTATACTTCAGAAAGTGCACCAGCATCTAGTCATTTTTTGCCTAATGCATTAATTCCAGCTATTACTTCTGTAGGACCTGTGTATGAGCTGCGCCAAGAGGTACTTTGATGATATAGGTCAAAATATGTATATTAATCTGTTGTTGACTAATGTTTTCATTAACTGCATGATGTTATCTGTTAAACATCACAGCTTACCCCTCAAAGGCCCCTTAGATCTGAAGTCGAAAGGGAAAAACGGCTGAGCCTCAGTCGGCCAACTAGTGGTCAATTCCCTCCAAGTGTGACACCCTCTATTGGGGGTCAATCTGGAAGTCATTCAGGTACAAGTAGCAACCGTGACTCTATTGGTGAGTATCTATTTTAGTTCTGTTGAAAGAAGTTGGATTTCATATGCTCAGTCTCATCAATTAAAATTTTCTCCCCAGGAACCACAAGTGAAGATGATGGTGCTCCACCACCACTTCCAATGAAGGTTCGTGATGTAGATACATCGCTTGATGTGTCTGTTAGTCAAAGTATAGACACTGATGCAGATGCAGAAGCAGACTACTGCAATTTGTTTGCATCGCCTGATCATGTGCGAAGTGTACCATCAACTCCTAGTCTTCGAGCCAAGGCAAGCGAAAACAATTCAATAAAGAAATGGATGAATTGATTTGGTGTGAAACTGAAACTTTATCTCACGTTTGTATGTGCTGCAGGTCTTGCCGCCCACACCCCAGGAAGAGACACAACCATCCATCCCCTCATTCAATGTAGGTGATGAAGTGTCAGATATGACTTCAGGTCCTGAACCTCCCGACCCTGATCCATGACAAGACGCAGCCAAACCCTCACAAGGTTTGGCCAACAGTAGTTTCCTGCATCAGTACATTGCCAAAAGTAGTCCCACAGTCTAAGTGAACAATGACAAAGATTGCACGCACATTGAACCTCATATTTGTTCATTGCTTGCATGTGGCAATACCCTGAAATTCTCCCAGTGGAGGCAGTGGAGATCTTAGTCTGGTCAAAATGCTGTCAATAAATGAAGTGATTTGTAAGTATTAATACTGATATTGAGTAGACTTAAGCTATTGAACATATCAGAAAACTTGTTATATTTTTAAACATGTGTATGAATATCATATCCATTTGTAAATAATTTGTTTAACTATATTTGCAACTTGTAGTTTTCCTATCTCATGAGAAAAGTATGTATTGTTACTTTATATTATGGCCAAGTTGTATAGTTTCCTCCCGAAGACATTTCAGTTATGTCTACAACTAATAATTGTGGATGAGTTCATTTTTTTAAACTGTTTTATTTACCCATGAGCTTTACAAAAACCATGCTTCAAAGGTTACTTCTTTCCTTTGAAAGTTTTACAGAAAACAACCTGTATCTCTTGGCATACAGTAGCCACTCTGTTAAAATATGACATCTTTCATAGCAATATAGGTGCTTGTAAGTACACATGTAACTATGAAATAAATAATGGTACTTTCAGACTTCCTGTCTTATGTGTGTGGTGCCTTGTATCTTGTACCTTGATCAATGATTTGTCGTGCTCTGGATGAGCATCATTTCTTACAAGCTGAAATCTATTCTCATTTCAGCTTGTGTCTTTAGAAACTGATTGATTGTCTAGAAATTCTTATGGGCCGGTTCATTTCTTTATTTTCGTAACCAAGACGTTGTAATAGCACAGTTGATGACTAGAAGCTGCTAGTAAAGAACTGATACACCATGCACAGGAGTATGTACTGGTATTAAGTTCAGTGGAAAGTAAATATGTAACATTTTTCTTTAAAACCTAAGATCACATTGTACAATTGCTATTATAGTTTGTTTCCCTCTTCAAATAAGACTTGCATCCAAAATTATAGATGATAAAGCTATAAATTTTGTGAAAGCAATACAAATGACTCAGATCAAGATGGCAAAAACTGTACTTCAGATATCATAGAAAAACATTTACAACATTCCAACAGATACAGCATGTGCCATTAGAGCCTCAGCAGCTTGTAAAGTTTCCAAGTGTATTTTAGTTTCCCTAATCCAATCGGCAGCTACTCTTCTAGAATATCCTTTCAATAAATTCATATAACGTAAAGCTTGGAGGAGGTCACCTCTATCTATCCAGTACCTAGAAACAACAATTATGTTTATCAATTTAATAAAAAGTTAAGATGAAACAAAGATACCTTGTGCTGTTGAATTAACACAAACCTTGCTTCCTGAATTGCTTCCAAGGTGGAAATGTTTTGAGGAACTGTTTGAGACAGCTTCACTGATGAATGGGTGTAGTCTCTGACAGAACTCAATAAGAAGCTTTGAATCCATGATAGCATATAAAGGGATAGACTTCCACCTTCTTCAGGAACAAGAGCTACTCCTTTTGTAACTTTTTCAACCTAGAAAACAATCTTGATTAGTTCAGAAGGTCTCCACACACGGTTCGAATGCACCACAAATAGCATTTTGAAAATCACACATCAAGTTATCTCCCAGAACAGACTGATAATTTTAATTTTTAATCTATGTTACCTTCTTAAATCTTTCAATAAGAGCTTCTTCGGTAAAAACACCACGTTTAAGAGCCTCTTCAGGAATTCCTTTAACCACAGCAGCGACCAACTGATCATTTTCCACTACAGGGTAAAATATAAAGAGTAACCTTTACTTTTTGGTGAAAAGGGCAGAGTAGAACACAAAAGAGTTACATACTAAAAAAAAAAACTTACAACTTGTTGAGTTTAATGCTTCAATTTCTTCTTTAATTGATACAACCTTCTCATCATAGTGTTTGAGGGGTTGCAGCCTTCTTAAGGACCTTACCAGCGAATGACATGCAGACCAAAGCATTTGGGCTCTATAGGCCGATTGGTCAGCATCAGCTCGAGCTGTAACATAACCATAGAATAAAATTAAACTTTCAGAGCAGAGAAGGAAAAAAAGAAGGGGTAGGGAAAAGTCTGACCTTTCACAAGACCATCAATTTCTGACATTTGCTTCTGCATTTCTGAGAGGACTTTGTAGTTGCGACTTTGAGTAGTTTGAACTAAATCTTGCATAATTGCTGAATGTTTCTGTTGAAGCTTGGTTTCCTGTTGTTCCTCTAAATCCTGTACTGTCAACAGATGGGCTTCTGTGGCCCTTGCAAGATGCTGGGTGATCTGAGCTTCACATTCAGCCTTGATTTCCTTTACCTGTAGAATTTAAATGGGTAAGAAAATTGTATAACTTAAAATGGTGTAAAAATTGACAAGAATTTGATGGCAAGAAACCTTTGACTGCAGCTCTTGCTCCATTTCATGCTTTATTTTGACTACTTGATCAGAAACTTCATTCCCAATTCGCTCTTGGTCTTCAACTGACGATGCGAATGATGACAGGGCCCTCTTGATACGAGCTGAACGTTTTCTCTTAAAATGAAGTTGTAGTTGAGTTAAAAACAAAGAATATTATCATAATGTCAAATTGATTGATTCTTAAATAATATACTCACTTCACTTTCACAAATGCGGTCTTGTAGAAGTTTAACTTGCATATATGAATACAAAAGGAAAAGATCAACCTGAGATGATTCTAGATTTAATGTCTTTTTTGGAACATCAAGGGAAGGGAAAAGTATATGAAGTTCTTCCTGCAAATGAAATAATTTAAAATGTGGTAAATTAACTGGCGTCAAAAATCAAGTTCAACATGTTGTGGAGGTATACTTACCACAAAGGCTTTCCGAGATGTTTCTAATTTTTCCCATGTGCGCTCAGCAAGAACCTTCAGATTTCGGTCTTCAACAAGGGCTGCTGTCTCTTTCATGGCAGCAGCAGATTGATCTATTCTTCTCTTACTAAGTTCAACAAGGTCTCGGGGTCCTTCTAATCTACTGCTTCCAACTTTTAGCCTTAGCTCATTCACTTTGTCTCTGCAAAAAAATGAAATTGTAACATTGTAATGAGCACCATTTAACCAGTGTACAAATTGCACACAAATTAAAAGTTTATGCAGTACTTACAGTGTAGTTTTCACTCTTGCTTCTTCCTGAGCTAATGCTTGGCTCAATTTATTCGTTCTCTCCTGGATGATTGAGGAGAGATCAGGATTGAGACGATCTGAGCTTTTGTCAATAATGTCAGATAAAATGATTAACTCCTCTGGAAGAATATACAATATTGTTAATTATGTGGTATGATGACACATTTTACACAATGCACCGATCCCAATTTCATACCTTTTAACAGTTTTCCAATTACTTTATATGATTTTGACAACTGAACAGCAGAATCCGCCATTATCTTTTCAATGACTTGGAGCTCTTCCAGTGGCACAACAGTTCGAAGGACTGAAAAGAAAGTAAAATTAGAAAATGAGTTCTATGTACAAAGTATTGATAATATGGAAAGTAGGATATGACACTGAAAACAGACATGCTGTTTTTAGGAATGTTAAGACCACAAGGGACTAGTTGTGCAGATTTGACAGACAAAGCAAAAAGCAAGGGGTACCTCATTTTACAGATCAGTGAACACTGAAAGGTGATTGGATGCATCTTCAAAAATGATAAGGTATAAACAGATTAATTACTTAGAGAGAGTCATCAAAATTCTGTTGAAGAAAACAGTCTTTCTATAATTATATTTCTGTCAATGCGATTAAATTGATTAAATTTAGGTACCCCTCGGCAAAAATTGACAATTGGAAATTTTACACATTTACAGCAAGGGAGCTATGGAAAAATAAAGCAGTTCTGACTGTACCATGTTAAAGTGAACTGCAGTTTAAAAAAACAAAGGAGAATCTTAAAAAGAAATGTATTGGTACATCAACAAGTTTTCCATAATTGAACACATATCAATTATATTTGATGATTGAAGTTAACTCACTTGGCCCAGAGGATGGCTTTTCTGCTGGCTTATCTTCTTTCTTTTTGGGAGGAGGAGGTGGTTGTGGAGGTGAGGGTGTGTTTTTAACATTTTGAGAAGTTAAGTCAGGTGCTGTTTACACAAAGCAAGAGGAACAAAAAACACAAAAGCAATAAATTACCAGAAACACAATAGCATAAACAAACAAATCAAAATTAGTACAGCTTGAATGACACATCCCCCTAAAATGTTAGTAAACTACTTTCATTCTTCTTGGATCAATCTTGCCTTTAAATCCAAAGGTGTCTCTATTGGGTAATATAGTCACAAAAAGTACACTAAAAAATTTGTATGTATGCAATACCAAGATTGTTTGAACATAGACAGACACATTGCATCCAATTTCAGCGGGCAGTATTTACCAGAATACAGGACAGCCTTGATTATAAGACGCACCCATTGTTTGATTGTATGGATACTAGCCAAGCCTTTTCTATCGATTAAAATTCGACCTTTCAGATTTTTTGTGGTGGATGTGAAAAGTATGGGAAACACAAAGAGGAATTAGGGTCATTCAGAATATTTTAAGATAATTGTTAAGGTACAGAAGTAACACCTGGGAATGATGCCAGTAATTTTAAAGCAGGGTAAAACAGAAAATAAATGCATTTGTATACAAAAGGTGTTACAAACAACTCCATTAAATTTTTTAAAAATAAAATACATATTAGATATTTATATTAGAAAAGCTTATGACATGACTTTCAAATTTCATTTTGTGCTGTCCGAAAAGACCTTGTATAATCCCATAGTTCTTTAATATTTCTAATACTGCTTTGCTGAGCAATCATAACGATACTGAGAGGGTTCTGTCAAAGCCATGCCAGCTGGATAAAAGTTTTGCACAGTTGGACTTACCCCGTTGGTCTGTTGCTGCTTCGGGACCTAACCCCAAGGCTCTGGAAAATACAAAATAGCCAAACTTTTAAAGTAATTCCCTGGCTAAGTAGAGTCCATAAAATTTTGTAGTATGAATATCTTGTTCTCTACTCACGATGAAAGTGTGTCTGTTATTGTTTTTTCCTCTTGGAAAATTATTTTGATCCCATCATCTGCATAGGGAACATAATCAGCAACTTGTTTGCGAAAGTCATCATCATATTTGGCATAAACTACAGCACCACCACTTGCCAGTAGGATAGTACCAAAGGTGTAAAGTCCAAGGCGCGATTTCTTTCTATTAACAAAGTTCATAACGCAATTGAAGAAAGTAATTTTCAAAGAAAGGAAAAGAACATATATACTTACTGTTTAGGGGGATATTGTGAAGCTAAGCGCTGTGTGACATTGTTCGGTTTGAAAGGAAGATGACGAAACTGAAAATAATACAAAACCTTAGGAAAAAGACAGCAGTAGCAGATTGAATTATTCACACACACACAAAAAAGGAACAGACCAAAGCCGACAAAGAGATCCTGAAATTCAACAGCTTTGTTAGAGAAAAGATTTTCAGTAATAGTGTCAAGTGTGACAGTACAAGGGTTGCTTAAGAACATCAAAAAACTACCAATCAAACCACTAAAAATAAATGACATTTTTCAGGGAACAGAGTATTAAAAAGATAGCATCTCTGTCGTCGTGCCAATTGCTGTCAAAATAGTAAACTTTTAAAAAACACATATTTTTATTAAATGTCTGAGACAAGGTTCCAGGTCTGAAGGTTAAGTTAAAACTAACCTGTATATGGATGCAGTTAGGCAACCGAGAACTAATTCGCATCATTTTGAATATTGATAACAGTTACGGTATTTTAAGCAAATACGATAAAAAAAATAGTTCTGAAATTCGTGAATTATCCAAGAAGGTTCGGAAAAAACATTGATAGAGATAATTTTTGTGTCTTGGTGGCCGTTCGGAACGTCGGAGCATCGGCAGGGCTGCCAAATACATCTCATTTTCTGCGGTTCTTCTGACTATGGCGCTTATGTAATTTTGTCCACAACGACATAAAAGATCAACATAACATCCATCGATAAAGTCAGTGACAATCCCTACAGACAATCGTAAAATCTTACAATACTAATATTTCTTTTGCACCCGTTATGTTGTCAGAAAAAAAGCGGGACCGACTCTCAAGTTTGAACAAGAAGCGGATGTGACACCCACCCGCCAACGCTCGCTCACGCGCTTACAGCAAGAAGGGTCATTAGAGAGCTCGCAGAAAAAAAAACGATCTCCCATCACCGGTAGGGAAAATTACCCTATTTTGTCCACCCCGTTTTGATATGCTCTGTTGCACGCCCTCTAAAACCCCCAAGGAACTCGGAGAGCGCTTATAGTACTTGCAATGTGCATTGAAACACGCCACGATAGGTAGCTCATTTTAGTCACATTTAATGCGCGTTGCTGCGCTGCCGCTGGACCCACACCGGAAGGTACATGCTCAGCCCCTACCCTCTCTCTCTCTACTCACCATCAATGTCTTCTCTTGACAATGACCAGGACAGCGAAAGTGACGGCCTTCGTCGCCATGAGATCATGAATGACCGTGGTGGTCTGCCGCGCCGCGGGCCGCGCTGCCCCCGCTGCCCCCACCCCCGCCGGTAACTGGACCCCTCAACGGCGCTGCCACCGTCCGGCCCGGGTTGGGTGCGCCATGGCATCTTGGATGGCTATTATCACAGAGGGTTCCTATTATTCGCCAGCCGCCATCAGTTTGTGGCCGAAAGGGGAGGGGAGAGAGGGAGGTACTGTGGGCTTTGGGGAGGGAGAGCACAGCGGTGAGGGCGGTGGCACGGGGGAGTCGGGAGAGCCCGGGGCAGGGGTGGGGGAGCCCGCACCGAGCACATTGTTTGCTTCCGCAACAATGAGTCACAATAGCGCACCCAGCAGAATCGTCACCGCTCCCCACTGACCACTCCTGACTATTAAGCCACAAATATTGCCCAAAACCCGAGGCAGGAAAAAATCAGAGCAGCGACATAAACTTTTTCGCTCCATGTCAAATTTGTACATAAATGCTTCAAATTGAGAGCAATAATAATTACTGGGGAAAAGAACACACTGGTAAAACAAAGGTGCTAAGTCGTGCCTTTCCGGGGGGGGGGGGGAAGCACTAAACACATTTTCAGTTTTGTGCCTCACAAAGGCACTTAACAAGGCACGAAATTGCCAAAAAGGTGCTAAAAGTTAGTGCCTAAGCACAAACCCTTAGTGCCTTTTAAAGGTAGGAGTTAGCACTTTTGTTTTTCCACTGAATCTGTGGGAGATGTGCACCTGTCCACTTCAGCTCGGAAAGGTCGACCCGACCGCCTGTGGGGTAGGCTATATCTATGACTGGTTCGCGTGAGTGCTCTCCGGATTGCCTACCTCACCTTCGTTGGGCGTTCGGCTGAGCTCCTCACACACCCACCGGCGACAGAAGCCCCCCCCCCTCCCCCAAAAGGTGCACCCGAAATGAAAGTTTCGCTATCAAAGGAGAGGAGACGCGAGAGAACGTTTTGCACTCAACGTTCCCTCCCTTCCCTCCCCCGTCTTCCTCTCCTACCTGGCGGCGCTAGGGTGGGCCGCTGGCTTCATACACCTGCTTGGCGGGTTGGCCTACCCAACGAGTAGCAGGCGTTGTTCGAACTTTTTTTCGGGGTGGTTCAATCTAAGCGATAACGAAACAAAAATACTTCTGCGAGAGGGAAGTGTCCCCACCGTTCTTAAAAATTCAATCGAAGTTCTTCGACTTTCATCCAAATTCAAGACCGACAAAATATACACGGACATTCAGTCACTGTGAAAAAAATCCTCGTATATTTACGACATTTGTTGTAATTTTGATTTACAAAATAAGTCGTAAATTTACGACAGCCTATTCTTGCTCGTCGGTCAATTCGAAGTCGATAGGGAGGGAATGCCTGTAAATTTACAATTTCAAATTGTAATTTATTTACGACTTTTATCATGGAAAATTTTCCCGTAACCATTACGAGTATTTTTCACAGTGTGGTCCCATTTCCACTTTTTGGGAAAAACATCTCCGAGAGTCGACTGAGAGTTGTCTGCGACCATGATGTGAGAGGAGGGCCCTGGAAAAGGCGTTCCCGTAGGGTGGCGGGGCCGGGGCTTGAGCCTCCGTACCTCACGTGGCGACCCGAGCCGCGGTGGGGGCGGTCGCGCTCGCCCTCCCGCAACAACAGGCCGGCCCTGGCCGGGGCCCTGGCCGGCCCCACTGCCGAGAGGGCGTCCGCTCCGCTGTGCCGTGCGCCACCCGCGGCGCTGGTGGGGGTGCCGCGGGCCTCCGCGGGCCCCGCGTGGCTCCAGCCCGCGCTCTGGGCGCTCTGGGCCGGGGAGGGAGGGAAGGAGGGCGGGGGGCCGCGGGGGCACCAGTCGACGGGCAGCGCTGGGACCGGGTGGACGGGGACAGGCGCCGCCAGGCAGGTCCGCGACAGGAGCGGCTCCGAGCTCGCCGGCGCGCGCCCTTTAGCACGTCGCGTGCCGCCGCGTGTACACCACCGCCACCACCCTGCAGGGTGCTACCGCAGGGTGCTACCGCAGGGTGCTACCGCAGGGTGCTACCGCAGGGAAGGACCACGGCCAGAGCCAGAGGCGCACCGTCACCACACTAGCCACACACAGGTGAGTACGGTTCCAGAGGTTCTCAAAGGAGAATAAGGAGACTCTATGAAAAGGGAGTTCATATACGTTTCATGCTCGTGTGACTTTAGCAAAATTCGTCGAAATTTGTTATTTCAATTAATTGAAATTCACTGAAATTTAAACTTTTAAATTCAATCAGAATTCACAAAACTTGTACAAATATTCAATAGGTCAATAGAAAAATTCGATGAATTATATAGAAACTGGTCAATAAGTCTTTCTTTTGGCAAAAAAAGTAATCCACGTCTAATATTATGATTTCTAAACCCCAAGACGTCATTACTACGATGTTCGCCATAGGAGTAACATCAGAATCGGAACTTAATTGCTAACATCAGTGAACCTTCAAAATTGTGTGTGCACTATCACATACCTACACATTTTGCCAGGACATTGCAACGAACCAAAAAAAGAACGATGTTTTTTTCTCAAGGAACTAATTATCAAAAACGTTATACCTTCGTTACTTGAAAGGTTCCGAGGCCATATACCAGTTGTTTGTGTAACTCACTGCTGTACACTTTCCAATGTACACTCTAATTTATGGATATCCACGCGGTGGATTGCTTCGTACTTGAGCACACACGGAGCACATTTCGGAACGCGCGGCTTGTGAGGGGAGGAGTTCATAATATTCCCAGCCTGTAGGAGTGGCGCCGGCGGTTGGGGG